CCCCCCCCCCCCCCCCCCCCCGGTCCTTGAAAAAATGTTTCTGCTTGAAACCGGTCCCTGGTACAAAAAAGGTTGGGGACCACTGATTAAGAGTATTATCATTCACTAAAAAAACACACACACACAGACATTCTCTTACCAGATTCCACTTGATATTTTCTTCCCCACATTACATATTAATTTCTTATATCTTCCATAGACACTTACATATCTTGATTAATAATCCTATCTTAAGATCTTATTTTCATATCTATTCCAATTAGATTGTTGATCCTTATTCTAATTGTTATTTTATATATATTTAATATTTCTATAATAAGTTATTAATTCCAAGTTCCTCAATATGTATGTATGTATGTATGTATGTATGTATGTATGGTATTTAGGTTTCTTTGGGTATTTTCCCACGTCTTAATATTTGTGTTTTTATTATAGCGACGTTTTGGCTGCTAATCCTGACACACAAGATTAAATAGAACCCAATACACAAGCCTGAGGATGGCAGATGAGATTCTGCCGAAACGTCGCTATAATAAAAGCACAAATATTAAGACGTGGGAAAATACATCTTGGCAACGTTTCGACGAGGTCCCACTCACCATCTTTAGGGTGGTGCTTTCGGCTTCGTCCTTGTGCGAGGTACAAGCACGAAGCCGAAAGCTCCAGCCTAAAGATGGCGAGTGGGACCACATCAAAACGTGGCCAAGATGCTCTCAATCTTACATGGGAAAAGACCCGAACGCGCCAAGGCCTGCATACCTGTACCCGTGAAAATCTACAAAAACAAATATATATACACACACTCTTTGACCTCTCTCTACCCTAGGAGTAACGCTACTCAGACGTTACGAAAAAGTGGGGAAAGTGCAAACCCTCTCACAGCAAATTATGACAAGCTTACCCCTTGAAATTCTTCTCGTGTGCTCTGGTTTGTAACCTACTCGGTTTTCTGTTGTTGGGACAGGTGGAAAATCCGTTGGAAGAGGCGATTAAGTTCCTTATACCACTGAAGAATCTCGCAGCCGACAACATAGACACCCATCTGCTAGCCTTTGAAATATATTTCAGGAAAGGTAAAATACGTGCAGTTGTAACATACGACTGGGAGATGATTTTGTAAAGTGGATATGTGCACCTCCCAACTGTGCATTCCAAACGTGCGTTTAATTTTTTAGGAACTGAAATCATCTGTACAGAATACAGGTGGAAGTTCTAGATCGGTTTAATGACATCTATTTTAGATAGCGCTATAATAGTCAGATATGTTTTGTTTCCTGCATAAGTGTATTAATCCTGAAGAAAGATGCTTCGTTGCCATGTAACGTGCAGTATTTCTATAATCTTATGTAATTTATACAGTCTTGTTCAACAAGCAGGCCTGCATATCTATCTGCCTACCTGCCTACCTTCTATCTATATTCTATCTATCTATATTCTTTTTATCTATATTCTATATATATCATCTATATCTATACTCCATCATCCATCTATCATCTATCTATCCATCTTCTATTATTAATCTGTCTATCTATCTCTATCTATCTTCCATCTATCTATTTTCTATCTATCTATCTATCTATCTATCTATCTATCTATCTATCTATCT